GCGGCGGCGCCGCTGGGTTTTGGCCGTGTTTTCCGGCCGTTTGGCCGGGATTTTGGCTCCGATTTGGCCACAGGGGAACTCAGCGTTGAAAAACGAGCCGAGAGTATGAAATTTACCTCGATCGGCGGTCGGAAAACTCCCCGGTGCGGCGGCGGGTGGCGACGGCCGGCTCCTCTGGCGTCTGGTTCGTCTTCTCCGGCGAGGGTAGGCGGCTAGGGTTTTTGTGGTCAGGTGTGGGGGTTTTATTTATACCCTTTTGCCTTTTGATCATTGCCGTCCATTTTAATTAAATATGGGCCGTCCGTGCTTGATTGAATCTGGGTTGTCCATGCGCGTGCATCTGGGTCGTCCGTGCGCTTGCATCTGGGCCGTCCGTGCGCGCGGGGACACATCTGGGCCGTCCGATCGCGCGCACGAGGATCACCCACGTGGTCCGTTCCCGGGTCGACGTGGTCTTGCCACGCGGTAGGTCCTGGTTGGCCAGGGCTGCTGACTGGGCCGCTGACGTGGCTGCTGACGTGGCGCTGACGATGCACAATTTTTCTAAATTGCGTTTTGACCTTCGGTTTCTGATTTTCTTTTCAAAAATACCCCCAGAATCCTAATTTTCACCCTTTTTTTCCAAAATCAATTTCAATTAAATCCAAATAATATTTTTACCCAATTTTACAATTATTGTTATTTTTATTTTTATTAAAATAAACTAAATAAAATAAATAAAAATAAAATTAATAATAATAATAATAAAATCTTAAAATTATTGGGCGTTACAGTTTACCCTTTCCTCCATTCACATTTGATGCATATCCAAAACTAGTTTCAAATAATCTCATCCAATTAATGAGTTGGCTTTGTTGATGAAATTATAATGAAAATTTATTTTTCTAAAATCTTAAATATCTTTTAATTACATTATGACTATTTAATAATTAGTAAGCATTTTTCAACATATATCATCATCTTCTAAGGCTGAGACAAATCCATTTATCAACATAAATCTAACATTTATTAACTATTACAATTTTTTTGTAAAATTATATCATTTTTCTTTAGTAGATGCTATGCACATTTATCAATTAGATAATATACATACATCAATGATAATATGATACAAATTGTCTCAAATAATAAAATAAATGAGAGCACAAATTAATTTAAACTTATAACCTCTTGTAGAAAAATAGACATACCAATTATTAAGTTAAATAGTTAATACATTGTATT